GCTGGACGTGGTCTATTTGGTCGAATTTTAACCTAGAATGAATGCTGGGTCTCAAGATTGGTGATTGCGTTGCGAATATTATGTTCAGTAGGAAGTTTGGGTTGACCATAAGTTGAGCTAAGCGCGTGAAAACCCATTCTTAAGTTGAACGCTTTGTAAACGTTGTTCAGGCGTAAGTCTTTCCATGATGGAATGTTAAACAATACTGAATAAGTTTGCTTAAGTCGAAACTATTGTATAATCAGTGCTGGTGGGCTCTCACTAAACAAATATCGTTTTATACCCGGTTGTTCAACACTTAGACCCAAAGTCCTATTCGTCATATCACTGCAATGACATGATTGAAGATTTAGCTAAATCAGTTTATGATAAGACTACGAATTTGGCTTGATCTCAAGCTAACAACATAGATCCTCCTCGAAATTGTGCCATGAGTCTTGATGTTTTCCAACAAAGTGCAGGGAACCCACAGTTTACGAGGAGCTTTTATTTCATGTCAAAAATACACTTGGAGGTGTTGACACTCAATACCGAGAGGCGCTCGTATTTAGAGTAGGGAATTAATTTTCTATAATTTTGGGTATTGATTTAAACAGGACTCGAGTTCTGGCTTTCAGAATGGCCGTACGCCATCATATGTCTCTGGAAATAGATATGCACACAACCTCAGATACACTGTGGTTAAAAAGAGTTATTAATTATCTAGATGTAAGGTTAGACTCTAGACTGTACCATTGGGCTCTTACCCAGCAAGCTGCGACGAGAACCTTCCAAGACACTTTTTAGTTTAGCAGATTGATATTGCCTTACTACCAACTCAGGAAAAAAATAAAGTTTCTATTGACCACAACCCTGCGGAGCACGCAAACAAGTGCTGTAATAAGCGGAAGCGATCTCATAGCCCTCTTGGGAGCCGAAAAGAAAAACTAGTGGATATTAAAATGCAAAAGAGGAATCAAGGATTTACTGTTAATAGAAGACGAGAAGACATTAGAAAGGAAACCTTGAACCAATTACGAACCAGGCCAGATTAATAACAGACATCAGATTATGATATTTCAAGAAGTAGGCATTTTTACTACCCAGATGTTGTTCGATTACGGCTACTACAAAAAATGTTTGTATAAAATATGGATAGCCGAAAATTAGTCATGTACTTATAACGATGCCGACCATAACATATTCAAAAAACTCGCTGACTGTATGAGCGGGAGCTGGAACGTCACCCTGAAGTAATGCGAAACCGGCTCGAGGGAGGGTGACGATCCTTTGGGGGAGTGTTTTTAATGACCTGCAAGTACGAGGGAGCGTTTTTATGTTCAAAAAATGAAGGATTCTATGGAGATAATTAGGCTCATTAGATTAGTCAGTGATTCTTAGTATAAAAGTAGGAAACGTTGGTTCGAATGAAGACGTTATCGCCGAAGCTGAGGCCCAGTTTGAGATTAAGATGGAGATTATGTTGCTGAGTAAGGTCGGGACTTTAAATGTTAAGCGCTAATGAAGTTTCTGAGTTCTTGGGATTTCGAAGCTTTTAGCTTGACATTTATCTTATTCTTCATACTACTTATTTATTGTGGGTTTCCTCTCATTTTCCTAATACTAGGTAAAGTAAAAATTATTATTTTTTTTTTGTAACAGATGGCTTTAGTGATCTGTATCTCGCTTTCTATTAGTGCAACCATATTACGCTAGATTGGGTTTAATAGGTGATATTTTGTACTGGAAAAGAATGAATGAACGGTCGATTGCGTTCCGGTAGTTTTGATGTAAAAAATGTTCCCCGATCTGGAAGGAAAATTTTCGTAAATGTCGATAAAATAATGGAAATCATAGTTATGATGGCAAGCACTGTTTCGATTGACCAGGAGCTAAACAGTGCACAAAAAATAGTTTGGAAGCTTTTTTAAAAGTTGGGATACACAAAGAAGCGTGATCTTAGTTGCCATATGAGTTAACGAGAAGGAAACCGCACGAACCCAATTTCCATCAAAAAATCGCTGCTGAATCGTAACAAAATCGATCCATTACTGAAGGGGTTGGTAAATGGGGTTGAAAAGTGGTTCACTTTAAGCAACGTCACATGAAAACGGTCATTGTCGAAGGGCAGGTGCTGTGGATTTGGTCTCGCCAATGGCCAAATTCTTACTTATACTGTCAGCAGTTGGACCGTCTAAAGAAAACAATCGCCCAGAAGCAACAAACTCTGGCCAACAGGAGGGGAATGAGAGAGAGACATAAAGACATTGCTCTCAAAATGACAGCAAACGCAGATTTTTTTTTCGAAATGAACAAATTATTATAATAAGCCCAACGAGTATCCTCCAGCCGTCCAATCGACATGAAGGGTGACATTCACATAAGGTAAGGAATTTGAGTCACGAGTCACGGTAGGCAAGCGTTAGTTGAATGTCGCAATTTAAAACTGTTCAGCAAAAGAAAATAAATTCATTTAACAGCTGAAAATTATTATTAAAGAAATTAAAAGTTTATTTGTTGAAAGGAGAAATAATTTTTTTTTTTTTTATGCTAAAAAGTAAGTCGGAGCGGTCGAAGGTGTAGGTTCTCTTTTCATGGACGCAACTCAACCTCTTTTTATGTACATATGTACACGTATGTACAATATTTATATTGATAAGCTTAGTTCTGAGAATTTTTTTTACATATACTTTGATAAGAGTATAATTTATGGTATAATTTTTTGGCTGCAGAACTGGGTTCTTGTGTGTTTNTTATGCTAAAAAGTAAGTCGGAGCGGTCGAAGGTGTAGGTTCTCTTTTCGTGGACGCAACTCAACCTCTTTTTATGTACATATGTACACGTATGTACAATATTTATATTGATAAGCTTAGTTCTGAGAATTTTTTTTTACATATATTTTGATAAGAGTATAATTTATGGTATAATTTTTTGGCTGCAGAACTGGGTTCTTGTGTGTTTATTTCGAGTTGTAATTAAACATTGTGAAACTTTATATATATAATTTAAGCAATTCGAAGTAATGCTGATATTGTACGTATGAAACATATACATACATACATATGCATGTATTTAATGATTATTTATTTTAATGCGGACCAAAACGTAATTAAAAGATTAAGAACATTTAATGAAATTTCGCACAACAATTAGCCTCTGCCACAGATTGTTGTGGCTTTTTCCTATTTCACTAAACTTCAATGTAGGTTAGGTTATGCTACTGAACTCTAACATATGTTGTTAGGCCTGATAAAGACCCATTGTGATGCCACAAAAACTTGACTATTAAGTGTTCCAACTATTTGGATTCTCTAACCAAACCGCTTTACGATATCGGCGATACACCATCCAGCAGTAGGCTCCCAAAGTTCCGAAACAAAAACAGTGCTCCCCATCATCTTTACAGCATCTACTTTGGTGAGCCCCTAGTCTCTCTACATGACAGCGGACTGTCAGGTTTTATATATATTGGATGAGTGCATAAGTTCATGCCCGATTTCAAGTGTCAAGGTTGTTTGACGTCTTCCACTTTTCTAAATTTTTTTCCATTCAAATTGTTCTGCAGCGATCGAAACAAATGATAATCAGAAGGTGCAATGACGGGTGAATATGGGGGATGCGGCATGATTTCCCAATTCATCTCCTTCAGTTTGGCCAGGGTCGGTTTTGCAACATGTGGCCTGGCGTTGTCATGATGGAAAAGAACTCCTTCGCGATTGGCCAAAATCGGACGTTTTTCATCAATTGCTTTCTTCAATACGACCAATTGCCGACAATACTTGTTGGCAGCGATCGTTTCTCCAGCTGGCAAGAGCTCAAAATAGATCACGCCTCGGATATCCTACCAAATGCACAGCAGTACCTTCATCGGATGCGATCCACCTTTCGACATCGGTTCCGCCTCTTCGTGTGCCTGTTTCCATGTTCTTTCGCGTTAAACATTGTTGTACTGGATCCATTTTTCATCACCAGTCACGAGCCGATTCAAAAAATGTTCGTTTTTGATCCGTGGATGCAAAGAAATTGCTGTTGACATACGGTCCACTTTGTTTTTTTCACTCAACTGATGTGGCACCCATGTATCGAGCTTCAAAGTGTACCCAACCTTTTTTAAACGACGAAACGTAGTTGATTTATTGACGTTCAATTACCTGACAACCTCTTCCGTCGAAATACGTGAGTTATTCGCAACTAAAGTCCTTAGAACATCGTCATCAAGCTCAGAAGGCCGTCCACTGCGAGGTTGATCTTCCAGAACGAAATTTCGCGAACCATTTCTTTACTGTGCGGAGTGCTGGAGCACGGTCCAAATAAGCTTCGCGAATACCTTTAGTTGCAGCGCCTACTGTTTTTTCTTTGCGGAATTCGTATAACATAATATGACGCATATGATCTTTTTCGTTGTCCATCTTCCATGCGTCTTTTCATTAAGCAACTCAAATCAAAATGAAGTTATTTTATGCTTGATTTACAGTTCGGACTGTCACCTTTCCAACGATATACAATATAATATGTATATATTTCTTTCACGAGCGCCACTCTCAAACGATTCGAACGGCATCCAGCAGAATCGGGCACGAACTTATGCACTCATCCAATATTTGATGTAGTTCACATCTCGTTATCTCTTTTTGTACCATTTGGGCAAGTGTGCCTGGTTTTCGCGTGTTTGTATGTTAATGCATTGAGAAGCAGCTTACAAGCGACCAAAGACATACAAATGCCTTCTTTAAGGACAAGAATACACCTAGTTTGACTAGCAAATTCATGCGCATTGCAAATGCGCCAACCAAACTGTGTAAAAGCCCCAAATAATAGCTGGCCAAAAAACCCACTTCTCTTCCCTGCATCGCCTCGTGAAAACCACATTTCTAAAAAACAAAACCTTTAGTAGAAGGCAAGTGCTCATGCAGTACTTTGGAAAAATATTTCTTATTTTAATAAATTTCAGTATTTTTTTTAATTCAGTTGCACTTCACGTATTTTGTATAATTAATTATTTTATTTTTTTTTACTTTCAGTACTACCAAGAAGTTTACAAGTAGCTAATAACGGTAATGCTATTATACTATGTAAAGCCACAGATCTTTCGAATACTTGGTTCTATGATGAAACGGGTGAAAATGTCACGCAACTATTAAACGTTAAGGATGAGGTAAGTGAGGGTATTCTGCAACGAGCGCACTTAAACATACATACATAGAAATATTGAGCTCCAATTTAATATTTATTCTTGTTACTTTCAGGTACTGAAGCCATTTCGGGTGCTATTTTTAAGAGGAATCACAATAAACTCAACATATCTTTGCAAAGAAGGGGACCGGATATTGAGCAGAACAAGAATTAAGATAGGTATGCAAGATTTGTATGACTTTATCATTAGTGATCGCGCGATGCCTGATTTTAGTTTGGAAAATACAAAAACAAAATTCGAAAATTTCTTTTAAGCGTCCTCAGCCACTTTAGTACAGTACTTAAAGCTGATTTTTTAGAGCTTTCGTATGTGACTTTCAAAGAAAAAGCACATCAAATTCAGAAAAATTTATAAAATCTAATTATTTTGATGTTTACATCAAATTTTGGTTAGGTGCTGATATCTCAGGAAAAAATTCTTCCATATTGGCATTTATGAGACTTAACATAACCCCACAAAAAATAGTCTATAGTCGTGAAATGCCGCAGTGGCAGTCAATTGACCGACTCCAAATCTGAAACTACTCACTGCGCTCCATTCTCCATTGAACAATTGTTTCGCATGCTTTGTGGCATGTGGCGCCGGCTTGTCGAAAGCACATGTCAGCCAAGTTTTTGCAGTCCTCACTCGGCTGCGATCTTCTTTCATAGTAAATTTCCAGCTTTCATCGTCTATATGATCGCCAATAATTCACTTCAAACAATAGTTCTGGCAATGTTTCCACTTGCTCCACACTCCAAATACGTCAATGAGCTTTGTTGACGGGCACAAGTTGATGTTCATCCAATATTGCCAGCGCCCATTCACAAAAAGTTTGCCTCTGTGGCTGATCGTGTGTTTTCAATTCTTGCAAAATCTCTGCATTTTAAAAGGTTACACAACTAAATCCTTCCACGCCGAATCGATAAATAAAGGTCATCACTAAAACTGACCGATACAGTTGCGATATGTTCTTCTGCCTACACTCTACGCATGCGAGCTCCAGGTTTAATGTCCAATAAAGTAAGTTTGATGAAAAGTCCAGTATTTAGACTACGAATAACCGCCACAAAAGGTCGACCAAACTGAAAACACGGAATGGAAGATACACTTTCTTTCCCGGGCATGATTTTTGATAATCTAATTCAGTAATGCAAGGTCGATTTAGGGATTCTAGACCATATTGAATGCTTTTGACACTGACATTAGGACATCAGGTACGAAAACCGCGTGTTCCCAAAAAGAAAGTTGCTAAAGAAGCACTCTTTATATTTACTGACATGCCAATGAGTTGTCTGGAACCTGAACCGTTGTAACGTCGATGTCGTGTTGATATTCTGATTTATTTAATCATCAAAATAGTCCGCGAAGCTTTTTTCATCGTGCTTGTAAGAACTCTTCGTTAGCCATTAACACTGAGTTCACATGCGGTAACTTTGTTTCAGAAGTTTCATTTAATTTTTATAAATTCACCAAGGTAGCGGCAATAGTTTTATGAAACTCGATGAAATTTTCAGTTTTATCAGCTTAGTGGTGGTGGAATATTTAAGGCTAACCCTCTCTTTACACCTGCCAAGCTCAACCAGCATCATGCAAGCGTTAGTACTAGGTATAGAAAAGTCTGTCGGATAGCCAGGCGACATTAGTGATTTAGGGTTAACAATGTTGAGTTCCTGAATGTGACAAGTCAAACTCACAACTACATAAACTGTATTCTTGGCTATAGGAAGGAAGGATTGGTCTAACTACCTCCGTATATGTATATCCAGTACACAATATTCGGTTCAAGACCATTTATTTTTTCAATCGCCATTTTGCAAGCGTAAAATGATTTCTTCGACCTTTCCGCCGTGTTCCCGCTCCAGTTAAGCTTGCCATCTAAGATTATCCCGAGATATTTAAGTTCCGTACAGAGAGTAATCCCCTCGCCCTGTAGTATTAGGTGGCTCAAAAGGATGCGGTTATAACTGTTTGTATGTATAGGGCATTTTGGAGGAGATCACTCAAAGTTTCTAGACATAGTCAGGTGATCTGTCAGATGGTGTCTTTTTGTCGTGATATTTTTTCTGATATGCACATTGAGTTAACACAATGGAACGACCGTTTTCGATGTAAAGTGTCACTATTTCGGTGCGTTGTTTCGGTATGAAGCGATCCATGACAAAAATTGTACTGAATTGACGTTTCCAAAATGTATCCGATGCAATTGCTTGGTTGCTAAATGTGAAAGTTATTCAGCGTTTAAATACCGACATAAAAAATGGAGCATCCCGGACTTTATCTATGGCAGGTTCCAGCAAATAAATTAAAAAATCACACAGACGCAGAAACTTCCTTTGTTATCGAATGGCTTGGAGAGATCTTTCTGGTTTCCGGTCCTATTGTTTTACATGCGGGATTGGGAATATTTATCCCAGAGCAGACTGTGGAGTGGCACTTTGTGGATTGGGTAGTATACACAATAGTTGCTGTTGTAATCACAAAAATATACCCCAAAATAGTTTTTGGGGAATGTTGCGAGAGTGACGGTCCTTGGACGGATAAAAATCCGGGTCATTCCGGTATAAAGACCCGACTTGCCTTACCGCGTGTAAATTCTTGAACCCCTAACACGCAGAGGCATGCTTTCGTTCGACCAGATTCTACAAACAAACTGATGCATGCACCTGCATCTTGTCTGTTCTTCGTCGCCGTATTTGAAAAACTCAGCCGGCAAAGCTTCCACCTCCGCCGCTTTGTCGTTATTCAAGCGAGCACTTGTCATCCAAGCTTCTTCATAAACAGGTATTTAAAAGTCTGTTCGCCATCTCCTGATGCTTCATTTTCACTGCAATTCCACTAGCTCAGTATAATCTGGGCGTTAGTGCTCTCAGCGTAAAGAAGTGCAAGTTGGATTGAAAACCGCGCGCCTGTCTATTATGGTGTGTGAGTAGTATTGCCAGATAATTAATTAATAAAAATTATTTAAAAATTATTAACCTCATTGATGTAATATGTTTTATTGAATATTTACTTACAGCCGACCCGAGATTAACAACACCGAGAAGAGTGGAAATTGCGGGCGGTGATGATGCTGCATTAGTTTTTCTACATTCGGGAGCCAAAAATATAACCTTCAGACAAACTCCATTTTCTAAAGTCAATTTCAAAGCCGATAACATCACTATTATCGTAAGTAACTAGTAGCAAACTAAAATACAATTACAATATAAATTATATGTACATACATACATAAATTAACAATTTCTTGTGAATTAAATCTACACCACTTGATTGACTGATGGTTCAGTTTAATAATAAGAAGTAACTGATTTATTTACATACATATGTATGTATGTATGTACATAATGTATGGCAACATAGTGATGTTGGCACCATGACAATTTTCCTAACAAAAACATATGCCAACAAATACATATACATACATACATACATACATACATACACATATGTATTGTATTAATTGAACATAAACAAATATATGTAGGCCGGTAAGTGCATTGAAAAAACCCCTCATAAAATGTGAAGATATCACCGAAGTTGGAAGGCGGTCTGCATTGCAAGTTTTCCATTACGCGCATAGTGCAAGGCATGCGCTGCATGTGCTGCATGTGCTGCAAGTGCACATAACACAAGCAGGTCCGCCTGCCGTGACGTTAGGTGAGTGCTTTGAGCAATCGATTGCTGGCATGGGAGCGTAGAAAATCAGTGTCTTCTAAATAAGTTGGCGACACACTCGCAATGTCTAGTCGCTTGTGACTTACTGAATCCGCTCCTGTCTACAGGCGCATACATACACACATGTACATACGTAGGTATGGCATTTACACGTCTTGTATGTGGCTCGTGTGATGTTGAGTGGTGGGCATTGAACGTCCTCTACTGTAAACACTTGTAGGTTGTTGCAAAAACTTATGCATTGCACATATCCTATTCCATATGCGTGTACATATATTTGTATGTACATACTATATGTACATAGATGTATATGCAAGTTTATAACAAGTGACATTCTCAGTATTGTTTACACATTAAGCCAACAATGTATGTATGTATGTATGTACAACCATATTATGACCAACCAACCATAAGCGGAGTATTTGGTAGAACAAACTCATGATATGTGCAAGTAATATAAAACTCTCAACGAGTAGCTTAGAGCGGTCTTCTTGAAAGCAAAAAAAAATTTATTAAAAAAAGTAATGTATACAGCTTGTAGATCACGTACATATGTAGGTTTGAAATTGCTCAGGTTGCACGGTAAGTATATTAGATGTACACTCACTTACATGATACACTTTGGTTCATATCGATAGATATCCCAATGGAGAAATTATTTCCAGTTCGCTGTATAGGGTTTGCTCATCAGCCAAGTGGTAATATTTTAGGCCTTCCGTCGCAATATAGTCCACCGTGACCTTTACTATGACCCTTGTCTCCTCTGTCCGATGGAACTTGGTTTTGCTTTCCACTTTCTACTATAAACTCCTTAAATATTTATATTTCATTATAAATGGATACTTTAGCCGCGGTAGCCGAGTGGTTAGCTTTGCGCATTGTCATTCGGAGAGCTCGGGTTCAAGTCCCAGTGTCGCACTAATATCCAAAAAGTTATAGAAAATTAATTTAAATAAAAAATTAAGTTAAATTTTTTAATTGCGGTCGCCCCTCGTCAGGGATGTGAAGTCCTTCGAGTATATTTCTGACATGAAATATAATGCTTGCCATTAAAAGCCGTTCGGAGGCGGCTTAGTATGAACTGTGGTCCCTCCATTAGTTGAAAAAAAAACATCAAGACGCAAAAATCACAACTTGGCGCAGGAGCGCGGCTGAGATTCGCTTCAGCGGTTACAAAGCGCCAATTATATACGTATATGTATATAGTAGAGAGTTCATGTTCTTGGATGCCCCTTTATGAGTGCTATGACAGTAAGACCCGTTTTCACAATGCTCGATTAACTTAACCTGTAGCCGGAGCATAGCTTACCGCTAGATAGGCTGATGTGACACTTTCGTTTTGACTAAGTTCTGTTTACTTAACTTTTTTTAGTTTAATCATTGTGAATAGTTTAGGATAAATTCACAAAAAATTGCATTGTGAATACATCAAAACTGCTGACAGCTGGTCTTTGTTTACATTTTTCCACACGATATGGTTGAGTAGCTTTTAAGATCTTCCGTATTCTGTTTTATTTTTTATAATTCTATTTTCTAATTATGAAAAAAAATTGTAATTTAGTGAAATTTATTTTATAAATTTTCATTTGGGAAAAACTACTTTGATAGTTTTAAATTATATGTATAAGATATGTTTTCGTCGGCAGCAACGGATGTTCATAGTTGTAGTACTGGAAAACGGCGTATCCATACTTCATAGCCCCATTCTATGCAATTTTAAGTATGGATTTGAGCCGTTCAGCGCCAAGTTTGGGATGTAAAAGTTGACTGACTCCATAACCACTGTCGCTGAATGAAAAGAAATTGCTAAAGTCGTTTTGCTTAGAACGGTGGCTCGAACATTTATTACTAAAAATAATGCTGTCATGTCCAGAATCAGGTCACCTGCATACAAAGTCCATTACTTCCATTTTACAAGTACTCTTTGCTGCTTCGATAACTTTCGGCATTTTCTTCTCCAGGTGTTCGGATACTGACATGAGTGCAAACTAAACACCCCCAACACCTGTGGAAACTTCGCTATTCGGTGATATGTGCGCATAGTGCCCTCGATTTCGTTGCTTCTTCCTCGGTATTCTGATGAATGATAGGAAAAGTGCTGCAACAACAATGGTTACAATTTACCACCCGAAAAAATTAATTTTTAAATGGCACATTCCATTTTTTCCATAATAAAATTTATTTTTTAGGAATACCGGAATACAATTTTATTTATTGTTTTACAATTTCCAGCAGTCTAGTTATCTTCTGGTTAAAAGCTAATCGCCACTCAATGTCGGCGTTAAGTTAACCACAACTGAATTCACAGATGCGCCTTAATCGGACATTGTGAAAAGGATTTTATGCTACCTTTCAATTAAGTTATGATCAAGTGCTTAATCCGGGATAGTAAAAACGGCCCTAAATCTAGTAGGTACATCGCTGTAATATTTAAATTAGGAAAGAAATCTTCTTTGGTGACACAAACCGACTGTTCATCAAGTTGATTTGATCTAATTATACTTATAAGTATCCGTCTAATATGATCGTTGTCTCTACTCAATACTCAATGCATTCAACCAATTGATCTAACACCTACATATCTCACTCCGGTAAGAATCTATCGAAACTGATAATTTCCGTGCTTCAGTTAGATGACCTCGTTGAAGCTATGAGCTTTACCTTCTTCATAAATCAGGTGTAATGAATTGCTTTCTTTTCTTACTTTTCGAATTTTTCTTCACTATCTTTCCACTACTTTTCGGGAACGTGGGTGATTAGCTTTGGTTCAAAGTATCTACATACCAGAAGAGGAAGATAGTGATCTACCACAATTCATACCGATCGAATCAGATCTGATCTAGTCATGCCCTTTTGTCTGTACAAACCAATTGGTGCCTTTGCGTTTGAGCTCTTCCAACTGAATCGGACAAGCAGATGTACTTCTGTACTTGTCGAAACCGATATGATATGATCCGATTTTCAGATTAGAGATTTTAGTTCATAAATCCATCAAAAAACCAAAAAACCAAAAAACATGCGAGCATTGTTTGCGATTGTCCCGGATGTCTAAAAACAGTTTGGAAGCTATTTAAAAAGACTGAATACGCAAAGAGCTCGGTGTATGAGTGTCACATGAGTTAATAAGAAAAAACTTCTTGGACCAAATTTCAATCAGCAAATCGCTGCTAAATCGTAACAAAATCATCCCATTTCTGAAGTGTGTGGTGATTTGTGATGAAAAGTAGATCACGTAGGTGTAGTTAAATAAAAGCGGTCATGGTCGAAGGGCCAGGTTTAACGACTTGTAAGGTTTTGTTGTGTGTTTGGTGTGATTGGCAAGAAACTCCGAGAGCTTGGTGCGGATGTTGTTATGAATCCACCTCATAGTCCGAACTTCGTACTAAGTGATTTTTACCATCTATTTCAGCCTATCGCAGATGATTCACTAGAAGCCATAGTACAGCCGAATATAATTATCGATAATCTAAATTTTCCAATAAAAATGTAATTGGCGCTTTGTAACCGCTGAATCGATATTTCGGCCGAGTTCCTCCTCCAATATTCGGTTTTCCATCTTGATGTTTTTTTTCGAACAAATGGAGGGACCAACAGTCAGGTCATAAATGCATTTGCAGGGTTTGAAAAATTTACTTAATTTTTCATCTAAAATAAATTCCAATAACTTTTGAAAATTGGTTGCACTAGAGTTTGAACCCGGGCATTCTGAATGGCAGTACGTAAAGCTAACCACTAGGCTGCCGCAGCCGCCACTGTACATCATCAAAAATGAACATTATTGCTACTAATTTTTAGATTAAAATTTAATAGAATTTAGGTATTATCTGATCGAAGAAACATTAAAATATTTAAGCTTAGTTAAGTTGATAGCTTTTTTTAAGTATCTATGGTCAAATCAAACTTAATTCCCCGACTTTAAGTTGCTCATCCTTTTTCGCATTCTCAACCTGACGATATCGTTGTGACGAGCATTGTACGCGTATATCGCTTGCTTCCACACTTACTACGTACACATACATATATGTATGTATGTATTCACGTGTATGTGTTATTGGTAATACGATCTTCAAGACTACTGGCTACAGCTACTAACTAGTGTTGAATTGTAATGACTTTATATTTTGTTACATCTTATTTTGTCGTTGTTTTTGTTTTTGTTATTTACGTTTTTATATTTTACTCTGTCACATTGGCTTTGCTCCATCGCTGGCATTCGTGAAATCCACAAGGAATTCGGATTTTACGCGAAGCATAGCAAATTTCTCACGTTCTCCAAATAGAATTTATTTCAGCTCAACAGCTTTGAGACTTTTTCACGGGAATCGAATCTGTTATGGTTGGTGTTGCATTTACATACGCGTGTCTTTTTTGATTGATTTAATTAAGATTGGTTTGGCAATTGCCTGTACGAGTGTAGGAGGGGAGGGGTGCCATGATGCGCATGCTAAACTGTGGTGCAAGTCATGTCAGGGCAGGACAGGACAGGCCAAGGCTAGGCATGTAAGCTTTTGACAAGTTACATTTTCTTCACCATTTTCTCTTATCAACAGAGACACTAACTTTTATTATTGTTTTTGTTTTTGTATTGCTAACAAGTATATCGCCAAGTGTGTTGTTGTTGTTGTTGTTCAACAATGTTGCAATCACATTTTATGCGCCAATCACCTAAACTGGCCGCAATCTTAAGTGCGTTCAATGTATGTAATATATGCATGCATGCATGTATGTATTGTATATATTGTATGTACATACGTGTATGTAAGTGTTATTGTGTTGGTACTCCGTTGAAGGCGAAATTAAGACGATATTGAAATGAATTCGTGCTAATTGCATTGAATTTGTGTGAAATGTCTTTGACTCTTGACGCTTGACACTTGACACAAACAGACAGTTGTGCATATATATTAAAATCTTGATACATATATACTATGTATATCCATAACTTAGACAGAATGAACCTAATTATGTATGTATTACCATACCATATACTTTCTCCATTTTCAGAGACCCGATAACGGAACAGCGATTATGGTGATAAGGAATGCGATCGAGGGAAAATCGAGTTTGATCTTTAAACACGATCATAACATGTTAACCGATGAAACTTATTTCTTCGTGGGTAAGTAAGCATGCACACATACATATGCACATTTGCATTATACATACATAATACTAGTCTCTTTTTGTAATATTATATCTGAAGCGATTTTCGGCCGAACTACTCCGCCAATATTTGGTGTGGGTTTTAATGTCATGTTTTTTCCCAACAATTGAAGGGACCTATAATTTATTCTGAGGGACCTCCAAACGGCCGATGGATTTTTATGAGGAGCCTTTCTTTTTTTTCTGCTGAGGGTCGACCGCGAAATTAGAAAAATCAAATTTGTATAGCTGAATGTAGAGAAAAGCGTGAACGAAATCAGCCATGGGATTGACGGCTTTGGGTGAATCTTCGGACCCAGCTTGATATGTTGGGGATATGGTATGGAGGACACAATAGACAGCACACCCTCAAGCTTTATCTGGGATAAAGCTTTTTTAAGACTCGTTTAAGGAGCGCGGATAGCGCAAGAACATACGATCAACCAGTGGAACGCTTAACTCCAACGAGAAACCTGTATACCAAATATTTACATATACTTCGATAGTCAGAAGGAAATTAAGGCAATGATCTCACATTGTATTGCTTCAGAAAACATCTTTAGAAGTGGGAAAGCTGTAGACAGGCCGATCGAGGGTAAACGACTGGATATATACTGGATTTCACACCACACGGGCTTTATGGGTAATGAGATAGCTGATGAAATTGCCAAAAATGTCATCCATCTTACTATTGCGCCAGAACAGAATATACAAAAGTCGCTAAAAACTATCTACGAGTATAATAAAAGTTCCCAAAGAGTGCCAGATTGGTGTGAGGTAGATCTCATTAGCGACATGAAAAACAACCCCTTTATCTGCTTGCATGGGCGAGTGTATTATCGAAAATTTATAAATAATCTGCGTTGGTATTTGACGTTGCTAGTACGCAAAAGTACCAAAAATGTTTCCCAAAGCTTTCAAAGCAAAAATTTGTGATTCCGACTCATCATTATTGTCATTCACTGCGCTTCAGCACCATATGGCGGGATGGGAATAATGAGATACTTGTATAGTTTGGTCTTTTTTTGTTGCTTACTCCGTCCAAAGTAGCACCTGTTGGCAGTGCCGTATGAGCCAAAACGCCAGCGACGTGAGAACGTCAGCTCGCCAAGTCTTATATCTTCTGCAAGATACCGATTTCGCACATAACGGCAAAAAGCCAATATTTTTTCGATAGCATCTTTAAAATGTGGTATGTTTTCAGGTGTCTTTCTCAAGATTTGGGTCTTAAGTCACGCCGAGGAGGTTGAATGAGTTGGTTGATGGTGGGTTATTAGCCATTTCCTAAATACGTTCGATAAGACTTTATATTATGTAATTAGCGCAGACTGTGTAGTTCCCTTCCAATTATGAGGCAAGTTTTGAAAACAAGATGAAGGGCTCTTTTTATCAGCTCTTCGTTATGGGAGAACAGAACAGGCCGTCTTTACGACCTACATGAGTATGCTTCGGTATTGGAATCTTCTGTAAGTAATTTCGAGTCGGCCAACTTTTCAAGCTCCTTGAACTCATTTATATATATATATATATCTTTCTGTTTTCGCTCGCGAATGCGTTTCGCTCAATATCCTTGATTGCAGCACCTGTTAGGTTAGGTAGAATCTATTTTTTTTTTCTATTTTTTCTCACCACTGCGGGCAGCAATTTTCATCGTAATAGTTCTCCTTTACTGTCCTGGTCTAGAATTTTGAAAAAAATCGAAAAAAAAAATTTTGTCTTAAAAGGTGCTTTAGAGTCTTAGAAATAACATACGAAAAGATGGATGCCGGCAAAAATGTCTAAATGTCCAAATTTTTCATTCGACGGCAGGTATGCCCCGAGCGGCCTAAAACTTTAAACGCGTTTTTCTCGAAATCACTTTTTTTAAACTGGCCGAAGACATTACTCGTACAAATCTTTACCGATTCTTGCGAAATTTTGATGCTACATTCGAAATATCGGAGACGTACGCAGGATTTTATATTGTATAGTTTTTTTTTAATCAGGAGTTTTATATCGTTCTTGTAGTGAAAATTGTAACTTTTTGTTCGCGAAAAAACAAAATATCGAAAAAATCCTACGTCGTCTCTTGTTGTTGTTGTTATATAGAAATATGATAAAAAAATTTTTTTTTTGATCCGGGACAAAAATTAAGGAGTTTATATCTTCGGCTATGGACCCATTAGAAAAAATGCGTCTTCGGAGAAGCGGCCGTTTTGAAATTAATACACACGAAAAAATTTGTATTTGTATTATGAAACCTATATTATTAAATCTATTTTACAGATTTTGCATTGGTTCCTTTGTTGAGTCAAAATAAATTCATAAAATATGCCCATTTTTATGAGCTCTAGACCAGTTTTTTATGTCTATGTTACGCTGTTACATAGATAAAATTATGCAAATTTCGTTTTAAAATTTTCGTCAACCCACAAAGTTGAACAAACTTCGTCATTAAACATAGGATTTCACTTTTGTCGTAACCATGTATTCTATAGACCATGATTTGACTACCTAGATATTGTTAAACGTCTCTAATTGACTTTTATGTATTTTATGTATAATGAATTTATCAGGTCATGAGCCAGATCCTGTGGAAGAGTTTGATTGCGAAAGCCAGAACTACGATTATATGACATGTAAATTTTCCATTCCGCCGAACAGTTTACGAGTGGAATATACAAGTGAATACTATATAGATAAGTCTGAGTTTAAGGTAGGCGAAAGTGCATTTAATCATATTTAAAAAAATATATATAATAATAATAATAATATTTTTTTTTTATAAATTTTAAACTTACAGATGGATTTTGCAAAAAAGTGCCAATTTGAATACAATGATTCAACGGCGTGGATAACATTAACTCCGTCAAACAATTACATATGCACTTATATACCTAACGCAACAATATATAATTTCTTTTTAACTGGAACGAATTCTTTGGGTAGTTTTAGGAAGAAATTTATGATTAACAATCATGAACATGGTAAGCATAGCCTATTGACCTCAATTGTTTGTTGTTTTGGTCACTTGGATATTTTTGCGATATTTTATACATTTACATACATATGTTCATACATACGTGTATTACAGTTGTACCAGCAAAATTGAATATCAACATATCTGATAAAACCGATCATAGCGCAAAATTAACTTTGGATGGCACTAACAAAGAATTCTACAGGGGCGTTAATTATACAATCAATGTTAGACCCAAAGGTTGGAAAAATTTTACAATATTCGCGTATAGTGAAAAATTAAAATATGAATATATATTTGAGAATTTAACCTTTGCCAATTGGATTTATTATGTGGAAGTAAGTGCACGTGTAAAAAATTTTTATAAAACTAAGTGGAACGACCCCGCTACGGTGAGCTTTGTAACCGAACCGCGTCGACCTGATCGTGCGCCAAGAACTTTTCCTGGTGGTTTTTATAAGCCCAATGATAATAACAATAATAACATGACCACACTCTATTGGGAAGAATTGGCGCGAAATGAGACGAATGGAGAAAATTTCGCTTACATCGTTCGCGATTTATCTACGAGTTCAAAGTAAGTATCGATTTTTGGTGAAAAATTGAATTATTCTGTACCATAGTTCTTATATTGTTAACGAAGCATATTCCGAAAGTATGTGTAATGAGTCGCTCACGGTTGGAGTGCTTCTCTTTCGTTCCCTTTGCAACGATTGCGTGGTCAGTACGTGACAAAACGTTTCGTAAACAAAAAGAAACCAGTCTTCCGCCAAATGAGACTCTTCAAGATGCTGTGGGCGCAGTTCAAATCAAGTGGGAAACCATGCTGACCGCTTCACTATACAAGCAAACCACACACGACCAACCCCAACAAGGAACTGCACGCCTGGTTTAAATGGGTTGTACTGCACCATTCCGCGCAGTTGCCTGATCTAGCGACTTCAGTTTACTATCTCTTTACATGCTTAAAGCTGCACATGAGTGGTAAAAGCTTTTCAACCGCCTAGGAGGTGAGGAAGTGGACTGCTTTGAGGAAGGTATCAACAAATAGATACGCCGCTTCACCATTTCCATAGAGGAATGGCGATTATATCGAATAATGGCTAACACAATTTAAAACTAAATAAAATTCAGTACATTTAAATTTTGGATATGCCTTGTACTTGTTGATTTTGAAAAAGAAACAAACGCTGAAGCCAAACATAAAAAAAATCTAATTCGTCAGTTATGTGATGTCTTGATGTTTTTCCAACAAATATAGGGGCTACAGTTTTATTCTTAGCCGCCTCCGAATGGCCGATAGCATTAAGAAAAATTAATTTTCCATAATTATGGATGTTGATCGAATTAGGGTTCGAAAACATGACTTCCGCATGGTGGCAATCACTCCTTACTACTTGACTTTTATGGTCTACCTTATTAAAAACAATGCGTTTGATAGCCAACCTACATCAACCAGTTTTAGTGTTTTAACTGTAGTTGTAATTCCGCAGGGAAGGACAATTGACCAAAAATTGTATCTGCCTGAAACCGCCTCAGCTAAGATGTCAAAATTGTGCTTGGCGATTTCAACACCTCTATGCAGCAAAGAGCGCGCATCGACAGACAACTGAGAAGGTAAATTTCCGCTCTGAGGGCGCTCGTCTCAAACACGGTTATAAGAGAACGTCATTTGGATCATTTGGAAAAGATACCAACAATTAAATAGGGGAAACTAAACGCTTTTATAATGGCGAAAAGATTTAGACTAAAATGTATGAGTATGAAGAGCTTAAGTAGACGGTTAGGTAAGGGAAACAAGCAAAGGGGTATAGCAATATCGACGCCTTTATACCTTTCACCGACAAATCAAATTTATTATATTGCGCGCTTTTTTAAAGATCAATCGCGATATGTACATATTGTAAAACTCATTTCTTAAAATACATACAATTTCGGTGATTTTCATTGTCAATATATAAATATAATTTGTAAGCACTAGAACGATTTTCGGCCGAGATTCTTAATGCTTTTCCAACAATTGGAGGGACCTACAGTTTATACCAAGCCGCCTCCTTACGGCTGATGGATTTTTTATATGAGGATCTTTATTTCATGTTAGATTTACACTCGGAGGGGTTGACATTCCTTGCTGAGAGGCGACCACAATTAGAAATTTTTTTTTTAATTAAATTAAATTTCTATAAAATTTAAAAATTTCACGCTCTTATAAGGTTTTCGTCGGATCGTTTACCCAAAACCCTACATATCAACAAAACGGTTGTGAGGGAACTAGAACGCTCGATCTGGCCGGTTCCGACAAATGATAAATAAATGTATAAAAATACATCTGCATATCAGGTTTGGTTGAAATATCTAAAAAAAAAAAAACTGGTACATGAGTTGGTATAAATTTTTGGTGGATCTCTCTTTTCTACTACGGACCAAAGTTAATGTACCATTTCAGGTACATCAAAGGTATAATGAGACAACTTGTAGGTGGTTTCAAGACCGAAGCATTTCGCTGTAGGAGTGTTAAATGTGATCTAGATATTCAGAACTTATTGAGTTTAGACGCTTTATCATCGGGCTAATATGAAGTTCGAATATAGTGATTACACCCCTGAGGAATAAAAAAGCAGTCAGAGTAGCTGGGTTACCATCTGAGTTATTCGAAAGAATAAAAGTTTGTTCAATGATTGGAATCTAATTGTGCGCCGCTCAAATCCTATGAAAGGTCACACAAAAGTCTACACTAAATATCGCAGATCTTTCTAAAGTCGGCTATAAAGTCTTTAAACAAAAAAGGATCGAAAGACACTACCATTTCTACAGCAGAAAAAAAAGCTGTCCGTAAAACTTACATACATACAATATGTGTATAAGGCCAGCTTAATGGACGCTACGCAATATCAAAAGCTCTATTAGAATCTGGTTAGGACTTCTCCTAGTCGTTCGATACTGAGCGAGTTTTCGAACACGCTGACTTCCACTTCCACTATCTTACTTAGCAGCCCTTTATACATTATCTTTTTTGCACCACCCTAATTATACTATGAAATCACAAATTCTTATTTAATATTTAATTTAATTTTTTATAGCGATTGGAAAACCACAAATTCATCATTTCACCTTCATTTGTCTGACGAAGCTAAAATCTTCAATATTTACGCAGAAAATGACGTCGGTAGGTCGGAAACTGGAAACACAATTCAAGTAAAGCACAACGAAATTAAACCACAGTATATTGAGAAGTTAGCAGTGAAAGGAGGTTTCAAAATACTCTGGAAGTTTCCAAATGATATGCCGAAACCAAGCAATTATACCATATTTTGGTGCAAACCTCGCTTTGCCAGCAAAACCGAGTGTAAAGTAAGTGAAAATAATCTATGTACACACATATATATATACAAAAATCTTTGTTCAAATGCTTTTATACTTGAAAAAGTTTGTACGGAAAAATTATTTGGGAAGTAGACTGGGTACTGACCTATTCGAAAAAATTTATTTATGGTTTGATTTACTTGAAATATGTAAATGGATTTTTGTTTAGATGAGCATTGCTCTCCGGGAAGTTGGCCAGGAATCGTGTTATACGAAAAGATCATATTTATGATTCCGTTTAATTAAAATTATGTACATACATACGTGGACTTTTACATAGATGAACTGGGGAAGTAGACTAGGGACCGACTTATTTGGAAAAATCCTATTTATTTATATACATATATTAATGTAAATTAATCATATATTGACGCTTTGTAACCGCTAAAGCCGAGCTTTTTCTTCAATTTGTGGTATGCCTCTTGGCGTTTTACCACACAAAAAAAAAAAACAAAAAAAGGACCTATAGTTTATGTTACGCCGCCGCCGAACGACTGATTGATTTTTTTTGCTTTGGTTTTCATGTCAAGAATACACTCAGAGAGCTTGACATCTCGTGCCGAGAGACGACCGAAATTAGAAAATTTAACTTAATTTTTTATTTAAATAAATTTTCTATAATTTTTTGATGTTAATCAGACCGGTACGCGCCCCGTGGCCTTCCGAATTACAGTAAACAATGTTAACCACTCGGCTAACGCGTCCGCCATCGTATTCGATTTAATTGAAATTATATTTTTACGGGAAGTGGACCGACTTATCTGAAAAAATATACATACACGTGTATTTATGGCTCGGTTTGATGAAAATTTTGAATGATGAAAATTGGTAGGATTTGGAAGCAAACATAGATCATGCGGGTTGTTGTTGTTGTTGTTGTTGTTATAACCTCAAAATACTCCCCATATTGGTTTTCGGGGAATATTAATGTAGTGACACTCCTTGGCTGAATAAAAATCCGTTCGTTCCGGTATAAAGATCCGACTGTTGCGGCAACTTTTTGATTTTTAGTAGCCTCTTACGACAGACCTGCCTTACCACGTGTAAATTCCTGAGCTCTTAACTCGCAGGGAGGATAGATCATGCGTAGGTATGTACGCTTCGCATTTTTAATATTCTGCTGGTGCGAATTCAAAGCATTTCTGATACGTACAACTTGATTGTAAGTAAGCACAGCTCCGAATGTTGGGTTATGCTTACCTCGAGACATTCATATTGGCATTTTCATGAAAGATTTTGAGCAGCATTGCTTAGGTCATGCTTAATAAGAGTTTTTTGTGCTTTGGGCATTGATTAGAATAAAAATTTAACATTATACAGTAAGCCACAATAATGTGTGGCCGGGTCTGCTGGTATTAAATCAAATTTTAATTTTTCGTATGATAATGCTATTTTTGTTTTTGTTCTCCATAGGGCGCAATGAGCTTCAAAGTAGTTGACAACAAGCAAGCCGACGATTTTATAGGCACAAATGAGCCGCTTATAATGGCAGTGGCGGCGAATTATCCTAGCAATAGCACGGGTCTTCTGTGGACAACTTGCTCAGCGAATTTAGCTGAGAATTTGGACCATGAAATCGTTCTCGAAGTTAAATCTCAAACGGCGAAAGAAATCGACTTGAAGTGGAATGATAAATATTGTGTAAATGCCTTCAATAAATACAACATTACATATTGCGAAGTGAGGGATAAAGCGAATTTGAATTGTCAACACATAATCCGTGAAAGCAAAGAAGAGAAAAAATTGACTTTAAAATATTTGAAACCCTACACAAACTATAACATTTCCATACAGGCTTTCGCCGAAGGAGGTAAAAAGAGTCCGGAAAAGTTAATTACTTGCCAAACAAATGAAGCAGGTGAGTGACTTTATTTCTGAAATATTTAAATGAAGGTGAATTAAGAAAAATATATTTTTTCGCTTTAGCACCCGAACCACCAGGGAATGTTGATTACGTCAGAGGTTCGATAACTAGTACCTCGGTAAATATAAGCTGGGAAGCGCCGTTGGTCACAAATGGTGTTCTTCAAAAATATACAATAAAGTAAGAAAATTATTTTTATTACTTTTACTTCTATTTTCCATTCTTTGTCATTTCAATTTGCCTTTTGCATTTTAGATATAAAATGGTGAATGAGGCAAACGAAAGAGAAAAAACAATATTAGCAGGCGCTGCTTTGTCTGGCGAAATAGAAGAGCTCAATAGCGATTCCACCTATGAAATATATGTGATTGCGTGGACAACGAAAAGCTCAAAAGCTAGTAAATCCATTAGGATCACTACTTTGGTTGGCAGTGAGTACATTCGTTAGTTTATTTAGAAAAAAAGATGCGTGTTTAACTGAATTTAGAGACGACCTTTCTGGTGGCGCATTCAGTAAATATTAAAGAAAATCAAATTTGAAAATTAGTATCCGAAGTGTCAAAATCAAAACATCCTTGCGTTATTTACTGCCGTTAGCGAGCTTGCAAAAATGCGAACACTATTGCATTGTTGTTGTTGTTGGAATGATTTTCCAACCCCGTTGGAGATTAGGCGAGACTAGTCTAAGACATCGAGGTCTCCTAACAGGGGTCCGGGAGACGGGCTCTCTCGATGGGTTTGGACTAGTGGGTGGATTTAGGTGGCATGTAAAGAGGTGGTTAGTGTCATGCAGATCCTAATGGGACATACGTTGGCTGTGTCGTGGCAAAGTCTCGATAAGTGGGAATAAAGTCGACTACAATATCCAGATCTTAATTGTGCCCGCATTATTATGTTCGCGCTCTTCGTCTGCAATAAGTGGTGGTGGAATTTTGAGAATGCCATTCACTAGAAAATAGTTCATGAATGTGTTGACAGGCTCCCGCTGCCGTTCTGTACAGCCCTACTCTGATGTACCTGTGTGGAAATTCGGCTTCATACGTATGTCTCTTTTGTGATGACCCCGTCGATATGAGGGGGTTACCTTGTCTTTCCCCTCAGTGCTGCCGGCAAACGATTTGAGGATATTTTTGCAATTTTGCACTTAAGTGGCAATTGCAGTCGTATGCTGAGTGAATGATGGTATTGTTTGATTTGGGATGAACCAAACTTTACTTGCCTGGTTGAGGCAAAGGATAAGTTAAACTATTCACGAAACCACTTGTGGCACCCTAAAGGGCGGCATCCTGTTTCCGCTTTTGTGGATGAACTTGATATGCTAGCTGTTTTCAGTGGAGAGCTCACTGATAGTATCCTACGGGTAACTCTTCAGTCTTCCTATCTTCGGGGAAAAATCTTAATATTGTAACACGAATTGGGCTAAGAACTGTGTATTTCTTGATAAAGAGTTTAGCAGGAGTGTTGTGAAATCCCACAAACCTAAACATGGTGTTCAAAACTACTGAATATATCAGGGGAGAACTACATCAACAAACGCTGTGGAAGTCACCCCCGACATCAGGCCGATCAACTATCACGTGATGTAAGAAGTAGCACTCAAGCCAAGCTGTCTAAAATCCCTAGACAACTCGGTACCGTCCCCAGACTGTGAGAGTCAGTGACAGGTGTAAAGTGGTACTGTGTACTGGATATTAGGCCTACGGTAATTGTTAAAATATCCATATTTACACTCAAAGGGCTTAAAGGGTAGACAAGCATAGGAAGAGGGATCATTTTTGACCGACCCAGTAATGCAGGCGTTATTGAAGAGGTCAAATGGACAACCTGCGAGAACTCCTCCTTTCAGGAGTGCCTCTTGTCATGTTTCTGGTGTCAGAAGCGGTGCCCATCCTAGTGAATGGTCACGTGTTTCAATTCTACAAGCTTCATGTCTTCTATTCCTTTAAAATAAATTCATGCTTGACACTCTTTATTACATAGTGTAGTACTGTGTCGATGGACTTTGCCTTTAAGGTAAGCATGCAGGTTTTCGGAAAAGACAGATTCTTGAACAAATACAACAACAAATACACGACTGTTTCAGTGCACGGGCCTAGAAATTTACCAGCAAATTATGCCTTGAACGAGTTAGTGAAACGAGGCGTGTATCCCCCCTGCGGGTTAGGTGCTCAAGAATTTACCCGCGGTAAGGTACATGCCTGTCGTAAGAGGCGACTAAAATCCAATAGTTCCCGCGACAGTCGGGTCTTTATACCGGAACGACCCGGATTTTTATCCGGCCAAGGACTGTCACTCCCGCAACATTCCCCAAAAATACAACAACAACGAGACGGGTATACCTCTGTCCACAGTACCAAGCATATGCTAAGGCTGCCCTCTACTAAATGTTTAAAGGAACTTTACTGCAAGAGTAGAAGAGTAATAATCAACCGAAAAGTACGTTTAATACTGTTTAGTTATAGAAACCATGCCACACCTCATCTCAGATTTACGAATCACTTCTTGTGCCTTACTAACGATGCTCCGTGGCTAAATCAGCCGGGCAATGAAAGCAGTGATACCTTATGCATTTATGTTGTATGATGCTTAGCACTGGAAAGTGACGGGTAATGCTCGACATCCTCTTCCTCTTCTTCATCTCTGCCACCTGTACACAAATTCGAAAAGTATTCCATTTCATTACTGTGAAGTCACATTACACAGCGTCCAGTATGTGTACCAGTTGCCGTTTTGTTGGTAAACTGGTCTAGGCTCCTTGATCTTTTAACGTCTAATACAGGTCAAGGCTGTCTAGTCACGTTACGAGTACTATCGTTAAGACATTCGGACTTCATGAGTTTTATCATAGACAGAGCCTTATCAGCTCATTCGTCGCACAGTTGGCTGGTATGTTCCTATGTCCGGGCTGTGTTGCACCTAGCCGAGAGCTTGTTTTAAAAGCTTTTACTTCATTGTAACGCCACTTTTGATGTGGTTTAATTACATTTAAGATGTTTGATGGCAATTTGGCTATTCGAGTATGTACGAGGTGTGACAATTAAGTAATGGAACTGATTATATTGCCACGATCGTGGTAACCCTGCGACCTTAAAAATCCTTTTCCCTTCTCCCGGCATCCTTTTCCTTTTCACTGATACATTTGCCATCGATGTAGCTCGTTTAGTTCGTCCGATCTGTCGTGTTGAGTAAACGTGTGTTCGTGATGCTCGTCATGAAAATGAAAAAACGAATGAATATTGCCTTTTTGATAGCCGTGAAATCGTCCACAAAGAATTACTCGAAAGATTGTGAAAACGAGTCAACAGGGTGCGCCCAGACTTCTCTCGTAACTGGATCTTTGATCAAGACAACGCGTCGTGCCACACCGTCCTCAGCGTGTCCCAGTATTTGGTCTCTACAGAGTACACCGTGTTGCAAAAACCGCCTTATTCGCCCGATATATCACCACGCGTGACGAGGCCGTGACGAGGGTACTCGCAGACATCCCAGTCGAAGCGTGCCAGAAATGGTACGAAACATTGAACACGCGCTGCAATCGTTGTCTACTTTGAAGGGGATGACAGAACTGTAGAATAATTTTGAAATATACGGCTTTTATGAAAACAGTCTCATTACTTAATTATCACACCTCGAGTTAATTTTTCATAACCTTTCATTGGGTTTCATCCATGAGCTCGGCTAATTTAGAGCATTTGATCTTTCCCATTAATCCCTGCCCCAGTTTCTTGTGGAGAAAGTATTTTGAAAACAGTAAGTAGAGATGGTGGAGTTCAACTGAGCTTAAATCTTTCTACTCTGTTGCTGAGCTGCTCCAGTCTAATATCATTACTGCTCGCTTGAAAAATATTGAGTTGAGTTGCTGGGTCTTCAAATATAATATGATTCTTTTAGTTTTGCCCATATGACCTTTTTTGTATTAAAATATAGCCTCGTATGCAACAATTGTTGCGGTTACAATTTTAGTCTTTCATTTTTTAGAAATATTGCCGTTTGTCCCGAAATTTGAAACCTTTACAGTTAGGAGCAAAAGTTCATAGCTCATTCCTGACCAATTCGCAATATACAAGTACTATTCTAAAAGAATTGGAACTATTCGATTAACAAATGCCATAAATTTTAAATTAAATTTAAAACATATACAGTGGTTTCCAATTAGAGGTGTTGTTGTGGTACGCAAGATAATTTTCCCTTAAAAGATCAATAGTTTCGTTGCGTGTGTATTACGTAGCGACGTCTTGTTGAAAGTTGAAACGTTGTCCAGATCAATACCATCCCATTCCGGCCATAAGAAGATATCGATATCGTAATCCATTTATTTTCGAAAAAGTAAAGTCCAATAACACCGCCGGACCATAACCCGCACCAAGTAGTAGTTTGAGTATGGAGGGGCTACCCAACAATGAATCTTAAGGTTTTCTGAGCCCCAGATGCAACAGATTTGCTTATGTTTATTGACGTAGCCATCGTGGTAGAATTGAGTCTCATTAGTCAAGATGGTTTTTCTATAAATTTTCGTTATGAATTTTAATAATTTCAACGCGTTGTTGAAGCCTGTATCATTCCATTTTTTTGTTGGCGTAGCTTTTACCTATCAAATGTAAAAAAATTACAGCTTCTAAAGTGCCATCAACTGCAATACCAGGAAGGCTATTCAAAACAACACCTCTTCTTGGAAAACCCTTTATATTCATACAACTAATAACTGCTGACAATTTCTAATTTAATGAATATTTATTCATAATTATATACATAATATGTATTGTATTTATAATATTCTTATTCCAGTACCATCCCCTCCCGCCAACTTCAAGCTGAAAGAGGACGGCGATGGTTACATAATAAACTGGACATTGCCTGCAACGCGAGCCGGTCGTGTAGACCTCTATGAGTTGATATTCATTCAAAACGAAAAGAAAAAAATACTTACTGTTAAACGCACTTCTGACAGTCCCCAAACATGTCGTTTGAAATTTCCCTACTGCACAGAGGGTACACAAACTATGGAAGTGCGGGCTATAAATTTAGTAACAAAAGCTCATTTGGATACGAAGAGATTTCGCATCGCCAAAACAGGAGAGGTAGAAAACTTGCAACGAGAACGTCGTCACAGCGATCCGTCATACCCTACTAGTCTAGTATATACACAAGCAACAACAAGTAGTAATGAAAAAGGAAACCCGAATGATACCACGCCAAAGGAAAGTACAACACCGCCATCTCATATGCAAAAGCAACTCATTGAAGTTTATCCATATAAGGCTTATAAGGATTTCGAATGCGTGTTTTCACCTGATCCTAGTAAGCATGTACCAGATGACGACATATATAAAGACTATTATATGCTCTCATCGGAGCCTAAACAAAATACAACTCAATACCTTTGCCCTCACCTTCCATGGGAATACATGTTGGCCATAGGCATATTTTTCACGATGGCCATTATCTCATTAATTTGGGGTTATAGAAAAATTCACGAAAAACGGAATATTAACGTTATACTACCGGACTCCATTTTGCAACTAATGAGTATGAGTATAAAACTACCGACCGATATTGAGATTGGTAAGGCGGATAATATTTCTATTGTCTCGATAAAAACCAATGATAGCAAGTCGTTGATCAATAAAGATTGTAATCATATCAACCGGCAGTCGTCGGCTAGTAGTAGTGGTGAAAGTGGTGTTGGTGGTATTGGCGGTGATGATAGTGTTAGTCCTAGCACAAGCAGTGAGGATGTTAATGGTGAACTCACCCGTGATTGGTCACAAGATGAGCCGGCATCACCACAAACCACAACAACTTTGAATAGTCTCAGTCACTCATTGCCGGATCATCAACGTAGTACGCCAGCGTTGCAGTGTAGAAATCAAGGAATTACAATAAATGATGATTATCTACTTGTCGAGCAAATAACCAATAATAAGTTATTACCCATTATGGATGATAAGAGCATATCCAGTGGCTCTTCATATATTAAGTCGGGCTCGAGTTCGGCATCGGAGTGTGGTACTGGTAATGTTATAAATGCTGGAAATTATATTGCTGTTGGTGATATAGTTGGTACGGCAAAAGACAATGCAAATACTGCTATTCTTAAAAATCATTCGAAACCCGTCTTCATACAAGCCAAATCATCGCCAACGCATCCAAATATAATTAAAAATGTGCCAATTACGACGGGCGATTATGTGCTGCCAGACTCGTTGGTGAGGGTAAGTAAAACACTTTAATTAATCATTTATTTGCTTTGGTGTGGTCTCCATGGGACTTAATTGTAAGCGCCACAAATTATCCCTTTCTGATCCGACCAACATCTAAGATTGTACAAAATTCATTTTTTCCAATTGCCGCAGGGCATGTCAAACCCTCTGAGGGTATTTTTGACATGAGATAAAAGCTGCTCATTAAAATCCATTGGCAGTTTGGAGTTGGCTCAGCTTAAATTGTAGATCCCTCGATTTTTTGATAGAAACTTCAAGCTCGGCCGATAATCGCTGCAGCGGTTACAAAGTATCATAAAAATTATATTTAATAATCCCTACGACTAAGTCTATGGCAACAGGACAAAGGGTTACAATATACTCCGACAGTCAGGCTGCAATCAAGTATCTACAATGTAATGACACCACGTCAAAAGGGGCCATAAAATGTAGAACACATCTCAACAAATTCTGTAATAAATATACCACTGCCGTTGTCTGGGTACCTGGACACAAGGGAAGGAACACTTCTGCTCACGATAAAGCATACACACGATTCTGGTTTACCTCTGACCACGGCAAAGAGCATGCTTAAACTGGTTTTATCAGAGCGGAAAGAATGGGATATCATTCGAATGATGTCTACCGCAGCTGCAGGAATGAAGAAGAGGAGGAAACCATCGGGCTCTGCCACTGCAAAGCCTTGACATCAGCGTGATACAAGATTCTTGGTAAACACTTCTGCGACTGCCTCGCTGAGTTGGCCTCAGCGAATATTGAAAATCTCGTTGCCTTTATAAGGCACACTAAATGGGTCGATCATCGGTATCACAATAGGCCTATTGGCCTAAGTGTGCTGACAGCAGCAGCCGCATCAACTCAACTCTTAACTCAATCCCTACGACTGACGGATCGTTATACCGAAAAAAATCAGATTTTATTCGTCTGCTCTTGACATTGTCACGACTCGAAAAATTCGTATATTATCTCGTGTTGTGATTCTTCTTCTCTCTAAACATAGTCGTTCGATTCGGTTTAATGTATAGCTTGTCTATCTGTTTCCTTTTTATATGGGTTCGTAGAAGTCTTCTTTGATATCATCATTTTTTTTTCTAAAATCGTTTACAGAATATTGGTGATTATTCCTACGAGGCATCTATAAAACCTAATCTCGCTGACAATGGCGTTATGGGTTGTAGTCTTATTCCTCCTTTTCCGTCCTTGTCGCACACTCAGGAGTCATGAGCAACCGGTGTAGGGACCTTGATCACATCCAAAAGGGAGGAAAACTCAATACATGGAGCCACTACGACATTTTTAGTCCAATGGTTCGTCGAAGCCAAATTGCAGCATCTATACCTAAGAGGAGTGACTGCAAGCGGCTAGCAAAATTTGTTGCTGCTTGTACCCCTCTCAGCCAGCGCTGGGCACTGGATTCGCTATATAAAAACTAGCTCTAAACAAAAATATAATAAACATTCCAATGAGAATTTCCTATTTCGATAATTGTCGCTGCAAAGACTATTATTTGAGGTTCGGCTCCTTGCGCGTGTACCGGCCCTAAACCAATACAAAATTTCAAAAAGACTGGCACAGAGGATTCCACTTTTGATTTGTGTAAGCGGTGACCACATAAATTAAGAAGAAAAAAAAGCAGAGTTCTCTATTTGTGCGAGTTTTATAATATCTGTCACTTACATTAGAGTAGCTAGCAGTCTGTGCCACTACTGGAGCATATTCGGTTAGGCATTACGTCGGTATTCCTGCAAAATTCAGAATTGGGAAGGACCTCTCCGAGTCGTTCGATACCAAAATGACGTTTCAGGCAAGGTGACTTTTTGTCGTGTGATTTCTTCCAGTTAATGCTGGAGAAAATAATACGAGCTGCAGAGCTGAATAGAGAAGGTACAATCTTTTTTAAGAGGGTACAACTATTGGCGTACGCCGATGATACTGACATTATTGATCTCGACAATCACGCTGTTAGTTCTGCTTTCTCCAGGCTTGATAAAGTAACGAAGCGAATTAGTCTGGTAGTGATTGAGAGCAAGACGAAATATCTCCTGTCATCAGTACTTTGTACTGAGTAGGCAATTGAAAAGTAAATTCCTCTCTCGGGGAACGAAAATCAAACTCTACAAGTTGCTTATCATCGCTACTATATGGCGCAGTGGCGTGGATGATGTTAACAGCTGATGAGCCAGCTTTGGGAGTCTTCGAGGGAAAAGTTTTGCGAACAATTTACGGTCCTTAGCGCATTGGCAACGGCGAATATCGCAGACGATGGAACGATGAGCTGTACGAACTATACGATGGTATTGCCATAGTTCACCGAATGAAGAGACAGCGGATAAGCTGGCTAGGTCATGTTGTCCGAATAGATGAAAACACTCTGGCTTTGAAAGTATACGATACAGTAACCGCTGGTGGAAGCAGAGGAAGAGGAAGACCTGCACTCCGTTGGAAGGATCAGGTGGAGAGTGGCCTGGCTAGGTATTTCCAACTGGTGCCAAACAGCGCAAAAATGGGATGAATGGGGCGCTATAATTAATTCGGCTATAATCGCATAAGCGGTATCAACGCCAGTAAAGAAGAAGAAGATAAGTCGGACCAATAACTAAAAAAAAATTATAGATTTTTTCCCATATGCGGATCATCAGTTCCTCGAAGTTAGCTTTAAATTGTTGGTTAATCTGTCTGTGGGAAAATTTCATGGCACTAAAACGATTATAAACCGCCCTTTTATTACTATTATATGAATGTTTGCATAGTACTTCCTTGGTATTGAAAACACGATTTCTGAATTCAAAAAATTATTTTATTTTCAATATTATTTCCAACAGCTATCAGCGTCAAATTATGCTCACATGGAGCCTGCACGACCCAATCTACTCAAAACGGGCGATTATGTGCTACCAGATGCTTTATCTAGGGTAATTACAATTTATTTCATTGATTTTCGAATTTAAATTATTTTAATTTTTACTTACAGATTACATCCTCCCATAAATCTATGATGAATGAAGTTAATAAAAAGCCGATAAAGACATTCCAAACACAATTTTTCCCCACCGGAACTTCTGGCGCTGCACAACCGAATATCAGTAAAAATCCCACGATCGCAACGGGCGATTATGTTTCGCCAGAATCGCTGCCTAAGGTAATGGAATATATTTATACACCTTTCATTTCCTTATACCGAAATATGTAAGTATCAGAAGCAGATGAGGTAGACCTATCAAAAACTATATCGTTGATTTAGCCAAGTTCGTCTGTCTGTGTTATCTCTCGAAGCGGTGATCGCAATTGGTCACCGAGATCTTTTGATTTAACATCTTGCGACTTCAGCCTTTGGAGCCACCTGAAAGATAAGGTCTACGCCAATAGGCCAACTTCGATTCATGAAGACCTCAAAATTTGAATTCGTGAAGTTATTGAGGCATACAACAGCCACTTTGCGGTTTGATGCTGGCGAATTTAGGCGCGTCATATATGGCATATCTTCCTTTCTCTTTACATAGGTATAAACATCTGTTCATTTATTTTAAAAAATTCCTCTTATTTTTTTTGAATATCAAAATAACACCTCGTATTGGAAAACCCTGTATAAATTTTTTCAGATATGATAATTAATATTTAATCCTCAAATTTGACAAGCTCATGAAAGGTATAAAGACTTTGGCATGGCCGAAGAGAGCTCATTTTTCTTTAATTTTTTTAAACTCAATTAATTTATTATCTCCGCAGATAGCAGCAACATTTTCTCAAAGGGAAGAAAATCAGAACTCTAAAAAGAACTTTCAAAAACAAGCTTTAAATGACAAAACTGCGCTCATACAACCAAACCATTTTCGAAATGTAACCCTTGCCACGGGAGGCTATGTGACGCCCGATGCGCTGCCGAAGGTATGTACATACATACATATATAATAGAAAACTGTTTTTATAAAATTTTAAATACTAAAAAATGCCTTGTCTTTTGCACATCCAAATTAGATCGCAGCTTCATTTTCTCTGAAAGCAGAAAATGAGAAATCTCAAAATCTGTTGGAAAAGCCAAATCTAAATGACGCAACAAGTCTTTGTAAAAATTTAACTTTCACAACGGGTGGCTATGTAACGCCCGACGCGCTGCCGAAGGTAAAAAAAAATTGTATTCATTCAAATTTGAATCATGATTGATTAAATAACATTTTTCGCTCTTTTTTCTTCACCAATTTGTTTTTTTAGATTGCGCAAGCACATGCAGCAGTAGCTGCAACAGACCATGAGGACTCTAAAAAGCCATTACAACAACAAACGAAATCACCCATAGTTTCATATGGTTATGTTACACCTGACTTTTGGGCACAACAACAAAGCGCAATGAAGTGAAATGAGACACTGTAGATAAGAAAATTTAGCCAAAAAGTTAGAAATCAAGCCAAGCTTGTTTAGTGATTGCATGAAATGTGGCGAATGTGCTGTGTAGGATTTGTAAAAAAAAAAATAGAAAAAGAAAAAAACAAATAAATAAAAATAAAATCGTACCAAGCATTTCACTAGTTTAGCACATTTAAAGACATATGAACACATTGACAACAACGCGACAACGAAAATTTTTATTTGCCCAAATGTCAGTTGAATTTCTAGAAATTTAAGATTTACAATTAAAAAAAAAATTAAGAAAAGTAAATAAAAAAAGTAAAGAAAAGAAAATTGTCCAAAGAAGGCATATCACTTTGGCCACAACTGCTGCTTAGCATCTCAAAATTAATAATAGAAATAAAAAAAAAACCTGTGGTCCGTAGTTCGTTGCTTTCAATGTGTTTATAATATAAGGTGCTTACATAATTTTAGAAAAAAAAAAATAAAAATAAAAACAAAATACTCACTATCCTGGCCAAAGGCTTAAGCAGTTATGTATATACATACATATATACATGTAAATAAAAACATACATTTTACACACATACATACATACATAGTTGTTGGTGATTTACATTTGGAAACTAATGCGACTGATTTATTGTTGTTGTTATTGTAGGGACATAAAAGCATATACAAACGTATAGAAAAGTGTGCTTTTTCGATAGCATCTACATACATATGTACACACAAACATACAATACGTAAATGAAATGATTATGAATGTACGTAAGAAAATACATACATTTAAATTAAAGACATTTATTGAATAAGAAAATACATAAATAATTATATATATTTAAAAAAAATATATAAAAAAATTAATTAATTAAAAAAATCGTAATTAAAAAAATATATATATATTTAGTTATAGGGTGAAAAAATAGTTAAACAAACAACGTCGAATTTCCATGCAAACAGCTTTATGATCGTAGTAATTCCAGTGTGAAAAAAAAAACAAATAAAAAAAGGAAAAAAAAAATTATAGGAAAATAAATTTTATACTCATAAAAATAATAATCGAAATATATGTACGTAAAATATGTATGAGTGTATAAATGAATATATATATGTATGCAATTAACTCAAATTGTATGTAATGTAAATTTGTATGCATGAATTTTTTTGTTAAGCGTGTTGTAAGCATTTTTGTTTATCAGTTCCTTATATATTTATAATAATAACTATCATATATATACAGAAAAATATGTGCATATATATATACTCAAGAGCTTAAAAATATTAAAAACTTTTACAAACATACACACTTTCATAAAAACATATTAAAATGAGAAAAAAACATCACAATTTCTTTGCGTTTTTTTTTTGTTTTTGTGTAAAGGACATCATATATTAATGTCATATATCTGAACAATAATTTTATTATTTATGTATATTATCAAGCATAAAATTAAAAGACATACATAAATATTCGCAGTGATATTAACTGTTAAATAATTTGTTAGCAGGCATGTTGAAAATTAACATAAGTAAAAAGAAATAAATTACATTTTACACATACATATGTATGCAACACTTTTACGTATAACTGTAAAAAGTTTTTAACAATTATTATATGATTTTTGTATGGAAAAAAACAGTCGATAGTCATATTAATATACAACAAAAGACAGCGTTTTCACATTATATCATTATTGTTTAAATTTTAGCATTGTTAAAATTAAAAAAAAAAATTTTTTAATATTTTATGCAATATTTTTATTTTTCAAAATTCCATACTATAAAAATTGCTTCATTTAATTTCTGAATTAAAACTTTCTCTCAATCATATCGTGAGTGCTTTAAATAGTTATATAAGACTTCTTTCCCGCCTTTGTCATTGAAAAATTATTAATATATATGTACGCACCATCTCAATAGCATTCCATGCAAAATAAAACCTAAATTGAATTTATAAGCCGTGAATTCCTTTTAAACTTTTATATAGCTTTATAAACTTTTCACATGCATACTAAAATCATTTATAGAATTTATTTTAATTTAGGATATTTTCATAAAATTATACAGTTCTTTTTTTTGTATTCTTAATTGTTTTTCTTACCCTCTTAAGCATTTAAAACTTTCCAAAGAGAGCCAAATTTTTAGTAATTATTTAATTATAATTCCTTTATAATAAAAACATCAGAATACTTACATATGTATAAACTGTATATACTTAACTAATTATACTAAAAAATTTAAACTTATTGATTTATAATTCTTTTACGCATACACTTAAGCCACAATACGAGTGTACGTATGTACTTATAGTTGTAAGTACTTAAAGTAATGTAAAGCAGATGAATCGGGTAGAATATAAAAATTTTAAAAATAAAAAAAATTAATTATGAATTTATTAATATAATATTAAAAAACAAAATGAAGCCAAAATTTTTCAATCAAACACAAAAATCGTATTCCATTTCATTTAACACATGCACACACACACACACACACACACACACACTTTCAAATTAATTTTAATATTCTTGTACAAATAAATGTAAATATGTATTAGCTTTTAGTTACACATATAAAAAATGAAAACTTGAAAACAATGTGCCCATATTAGATGTTGAAAGAAACTTACATTCGTATAGTATATAAAATATATATAAAATATTGTATAAAAAATAGGTCAATCAATTGTGTGTTAATAAAGTCTAATTATTTTAAAATTATAACTCAAATTTACGAGCATAAAAAAATAATTGTTAAAAATTCTGTTATTTAGCTGAAATAAATAAACTTATATATATAACATAATATTGATTTTTTGTAGGTTAGTATAATTGTTTTCTAAAAATATTTAATTATTAAGCTACGGTCGGTTTCCACAATTTAATTGAATTTTTAAATTTGCCTCACATGCACATATAAAAATCTTTAATTATAAGTGAGCATATGCTACGTAAATGCAAAAGTAAAAAAATTATGAAATTTGTACAATAATTTTTATCAAATGTTATAAAAAAAAATAGTTAAAATATGTAAATATTATAGTAATTTGCAACATCTAAATCAATGCATAGGTTATTTATTTATTCACAATTCCAGGTAAAGTAAACAAAATTAAATAAAGAAATATAAAAGTACTAAAGTAAAATTATAAAAAATGCTACAAAAAATAATAAAATAAAATTAAACAATATTACATGAAAATAAAACATTATAATACAAATAAAAAACAAACTAAAATTATATGATTTAAAAAAGTAAAATATAATAAAGTACAATAACACAAAATAAAGTAAAAGTAAAATTAAAAAGTTAAATAAAAAAGATCGCAATGTATTGAAATAAAATAATAAAAAAATAAATTTAAATTTTGGTATAAAATAAAATAAAAAATATGATTGAAATATGAATAAAGCAAAATGAATTAAATAAAACTATATTAAATTTAAATCAATTAAAAGGATTTAAATAAACTAAAATAAAAAAATGATAAAAAAATTAAAAAATTTGTAAATTGTTTAAAATAAAATGAAATAAAATTAATTTAATTTATTTTTATTAATAAATAAAACGCTAAGTATAAATACATTGAAATAAAATAAGATATAAATAAAGTTAAATGAGATGAAACTAATTTAATTTAAAAAAAAATAAAAGTATAAAAATAAAAAAAATATAAATAGTGTAAAATGAAATAAAAAATAAGATAAAATTAATTTAAAAAACTGGTATGGTAGTTAAAAATAAAATGAAATAAATTATGAATAAAGTAAAATGAAATGATATTAAAAAAAGATGAAAGAAAGTAAAATATAAACAGTGAAATAAAATAAAATTAAATTGAACTAAATTTAAATGTAAGGTATGGTAGGGGAAGATAAAACTAAATATGAATAAAGAAAAATGAAATGAAATAAAATTAAGTTCAAATGAATGTAAAGAATATAAACAAAATAAAGTAGTAGTTACATAACATATAGTAAATTAAAAAATTCGCTAAGATCTAATATGGTGAAACAAACAAATAATGGCTAATATAATAAATAAATACAAACAAGAAATTATTTAAAAATAAAATAAAAGTATTTTCAGTTATAAAAAGAAAAATCTAGTGCTGTTTTCCAATAATAAATATATATCAAAATTCCCCTGTCTTTCTTTTTCCCCTCAACATTCATTATAGACTTAACAAACGGTTGTCATTTTTAAATAATAAATAATAAAGTTTAATTTGCCAACTTACCTATGCATTGATTGAAAACTAAATATATATGTATGTATCTATAAAAATAATTATAAAAATTCTGTACAAAAAATCTATATTTATAACAATACAAGCACTTAAAAGTGTAGCACTGAATATGAAAACTTATTTACTTACACTTTATAACGAGTTTTACAGTATATAAGCGTAAACTTATTTACACAAATACACATAAATGTTATAAATAAAATAAAAATAGTAAATATTTGGCGAAAATATCTGTTTTATGTGGCGTAATTGAAAGCAAAAGTAAATCAATTATTATTACAATATACAAAATTTGTATTTTATTACATAAAACGGACAAGTTAATTGGGAAAGTAAGAGTTATCATCTGTTTAGCATAGAATTGGATTTATCGATAGCCATCGCTGAGGCCATGGGATAAACGACTAGCAGGCCTATTCTCACTGTTACCGGTAAAGTAAATTTTGTTACTTTTCTTTAACACCCGATATTGAATTTGGTATTCTGGCGAACTGGTTACAATGTTTGAAAAAAAAAACTTGGCAGCTCTGCCTTTTTCCTCCATGTCAAATTACATTTGCCAGTTGATAAAGTAAAAAATAAATATATTCACATCGAAATGGAAGACGATGCACTTCAAAGTCAATAAGTTTTAGTAATTTGTTTATTAAATCATAAATATTTGAACGTAATTATGAAAAATATGCTTGGACAACAAAAAAAGCTGAATGAAAACGTTATCTTACAAATTAAAGGGCTATTTTTAGCCTCGAAAACTTCTTAAAATACGGCTTTTTGCACTTTTTTCTTCATCCTCAATGAATTCCAAGATTTCTAAAATATGCCTACCCATTTTGGTTTTTTATTTTTTCTCAAACTTACAACACAAAATCAAACAGCAGATATTTTTGTTACCTCTTATTTCGCCGGTAACAAAATTTACAGGGTAGCAGTGAGCTCAGAATACGAAATGGTAACAAAATTTACTGAATGGTAAATTTTAATACCAAAGTAAATATTTTTACCTCGACAGAATAGGCCGGTAGATGTCAATTAAATTGGTTTAATTCCAATTTGAATTTGAATTTGATTACTTGGTCTAAATTTACTAATGAAAATGGAAGCAAATATTAGCAGCGAAAAGATGTACTGTATATAAGCTTGTATGTTTGCTATATATTAAAGCAAGAGTGAGCTAAAACTTTACATTTACATATTGTTGAAAGTCTTACCCTTAAATAAGAAGATTTCGAAAGTGATGAAAAAATCGTGGCTGCCAATGGTTTTCCATTTCAATGAGGACTTTCTTTCAAGCTAGTCAACCGTTACTGTTGCCATAATTAATATATATTTTTTTATTAAAGTCGTCTATAAATAACAATGAATGAGAATGCAGACGCAAGACCTTTCGTTCGATTTCGCGCCATGACACAACATTCAAACATCAGCGTGAACTTACCACGGTAACCAATAAGCAAAATCTTATTTGTCTGATAATATGGTAACATCAAAGTTGAAATTTCCACCACACAGGGGCAACAGCCGATGGAGAAGCATGTTGTTTGTGTAGCATTCAGTTTACGAAGAAATTTGGCCGAGATAACTTGTGTATAAATTCCTAGCGCAAAACATTTGTATTTTTTCGGATTCTTATTGCATTTAAGAAAAAACTTTCATCCTCTTACTGTAAAGGAATTGAATGAGAAAATAGTATTTGAATAGGATAAAAAATCCTTTTAATATTTGTATTTCAATTGAGCAATTTTCGAAAAAGAACAGGAAATTGAACCATTTTTGTTAAGGATAAGTTCAAAATCCAAAAAAACGAACGCTGTGAAAAGGGAGGTGGAAATTAGCAAACGAAATCCATTACGTGAAAAATCGATAAAAATAGAATCAAATCGGAAACCCGTCATAAAGGCATAAAGACAAAAGTAAAAACAAAACCAAAGTGACGTACCAACCAGAGGAGTGTAAAATATGAACAACGTAACGAGCCGAGCAGCATAAAGTTGAAAAAAAAAAACGTGTAGTTGGTGTACGAAACCTGCGGAAGGAATTTTGAAATAAAAATACCGAGAAGGCATATTTGAATATAAAATAAATTTTTTTCGTTACTACAATTTGGAAAAAAAAAACAGCGCAAGGAAAAAGCAGATATTCAAAATAAAAATCGAGGAGTAAAAGACGAATAGGAGAAAAATCAGCTGATTTGCTGTTTAAAGGTAAATCGAAGAAGAAGGAGATACATTTCCCCACCTACCGGCAAGAAGATCGACAAACATACACATTGTAAGAAAGCAAAACCTACAGCTGTCCAATCAGCCGTATAAATAAGCGAAAGCGCAAAACAAAAAAGTGTTGAATTTGAAATATAAACAAAGTGGAAAATAAAACTAAAACCCAAAGCAAAACCAAAAATTTGCAGATGTAAATAAAGAAAATTTCTCTTTTCATACAACCGCCAATAAATCTATAAACAGTAAGAAAATTATCTTGAAACAATAGAATTCGCTAAGAATAAATAAACAGAACTTATTTTGCTTGACAAAATCAAAATAAATTTGTATAAAATTTCTGTTATTTAAAATAACTTCCCAAACATCGATTAATTCAAAAGATTTTTGATAATTCCCAAGTAGCATGGGCACAGAAACCAAATTTAATTGTTACAAGGAGAATACAACAGCAACGACTGGTGGTGTTTCACGTCCGAAGGTAGCACATAATGGTTCGTCGTTAATAGCTAGAGCAAATGTCGGTGCTGGCCGTGGTATAATTGGCATTAGTGGTGTTGATCAAAAGTTGCATTCCTCAAATGGCGCTTTAAATGGTGCATTGAACTTTAAGCAACAACAGCAACGTAACGATATTAAAAACGGCAGTACGACCAATAGCAGCTGTGATAAGATTGAAACAATTACAACTCCAGTTTTTGTACCAGTACACATTGGCGAAGACGTAATTAGCGGTGCCAAAGAGATACTCAAAGTGATAAGACCACATTGGAATATCAGTCATGTACAATTTAAAGTAAGTATCTACACATAAGTGAATGTGTTTTTACGATTTTGGAAATTTTGTTGCGTTTAATATTTGTGTACGATACCATTTATTTGTATTAGGTTTTGAATGTTGACAGCATCGATTCGATTTTTTCTTTATATTTACATTGTCCACTGTAAATATTGTTGTAAATATATTTTTTCACTAATATGAAAGTACTTGACAATTTAAATTTATATTCTGAATGAAATTCATATTTTGCCGTTTCATTACAAATAAATATACATACATTTACAAATATACAATCAAATGACAACAATATGTATATGGAATTTTCCATTAATTCTACAGATAGCCACTTGAGTGGTTCTATTATGTACATATGTATTTGCTCTATTTATTAGTCAGAACAATTTTCAATGATTATCTCCTGCAAATAAATGAATTTAACGGCGGCAAAGTACATTTCATATAAAAAAGGGCAAACTATTCTGCATTTGAATGAATTTTCACACATTTGAGAAACGTATTAGAAAAAAAATACTATATTTAATTTCGTACACATATGCGTGTATGTGTGTATATGTAAATTTTTACATTTCCTGCTATACACTTATCATCCATCACTATGGCAGATTAAATGGTTTTCTAAAAAAAAAAACAAAAAACCTTAACCGGATTCTTTTCGTTTCTTCATAGCCTTTTTAAATTAGCGGCAATTTTTTTTAATAATATATTTATACATAAATTTATTTCACGTATAAGAATATGAATATATGTATATATTATACATATGTTATTCATTCACACTTATTTTTGCGATTCGCTCGGAAATACAAATGTGCTGGAGTATAAATATTGTACTTTATGACAGCCTTATCTCTTTAAAGGTTCTCGACATTTACAGTTTAAGTAAATAATTTCGGAAATCTCTTTTTTTTACTATGCATGGATGTACACATGTATTGTATATAAGAAAATAAACTTGTACATTTTATATATGCAGACTTTATTTGTGTATTAATGCAAAAATATACAATTTAATTTCAAGTTTTATGAAACTTTATTGTTGCAAAAAATACTTTTCCATTAGCTTAAAATATTTTCATTTTTTAAATAAATTTTACAGCAACTCACATTTTTTATGCATTATACAATTAAACAAAATTTGTTAGTAAGCATTGCATACCTTCCTCCCTCCATGTATATGCCTTACATATGTATGTATAAATATGTATGATGTATTTCTGAGCTTTAGATTATTTGATTAATATGTGCATAAATTTACATACTAATTAAATTATTTTCTATATATATTAATATAAAATTGTATTTTGTTCACTCACAGCTATGTTCATTTATATAAGCACATATAGAAATGAAAAATTTAAATTTATTAATAGAAACGCTTTTTATAAAAATTTTAATATATATAACTCCGGTTCATGCTATCGATGTACCCCCATGGGCCTAATTAAATTTTTTCTCTATAAAAATCATGCGTTTTTTTAATTCTGTTGTTGCTGTTTTTGTTATCAGCGTATATGAGTATACACGCGGTGACCTTAGGAGTTATCGCTCAAACATTTTAGACAATTTTTTGATTATACTTACAAAATTCATTCAGAAATAATTACTAACACCAGAATCCGTATTGTAATTTAGAAACTGACTTTACTATAAAGTCTATTAATAATTTCAAAAATTATTATTTTTTTTACTTTACCCTTATGCTCCGATCTGACTGACGAAGATTCGACGTTTCTATGTTGAAAAAACTAATTTTGAGATTTCCGCAGACGGTTTCTAGAGACCGTAGATTGATTACACCAACATTAACGCGTGTCTATATATTCCTAAAAAAAATTCTGTTATCAACCGTTAGTCTATTCATTAATTGCTTATGCCGTTTGTCAATTGACGCCACGCGTAAACTTATTTACACAAATACACAAAATACACAAATACACATAAATGTTATAAATAAAATAAAAATAGTAAATATTTGGCGAAAATATCTGTTTTATGTGGCGTAATTGAAAGCAAAAGTAAATCAATTANATTAACGCGTGTCTATATATTCCTAAAAAAAATTCTGTTATCAACCGTTAGTCTATTCATTAATTGCTTATGCCGTTTGTCAATTGACGCCACGCTTATAAAATCTTACTGTCTATATTTCACAAAGTTGCTTAGAAATATGTACGGATGTACCTGAACATGTATAAATGTCTTGGGTTGCCCCAAAGGAAAGCGACGACTTCTTAAAAGAAAATAAATACATTTTTTTCATTTCTACTTTGTTGGCTGACCTTTCGTCATCTTTTCGGCAACATCATTCTTCGCCGCTCATAGAATTTCTGGACTTTATCTATAAAAAAACTGAACCAATTGCGATTTTATAGCCTCGTCCGTTTCGAAAGCTTTACCATTTAATGAGTTCTGCTAAGATCGAAACAAATTGCAATCCGACGGTGCAAGTTCAGGGCTCTACGGTGGATGCATTAACAGTTCCCAGCCAAGCTCTCTCTGTTTTTGGCGAGTGACCAAAAGGTGTGTGCGGTCTAGCCGTGTCCTGTTGGAATATGACATCTTTATGACTGACCAAGTCTGTCCGCTTCTCGTTTGATGTCTGTATTCAATTTGTACAGTTGTGTACAGTAGACAGCCGAATTAATCTTTTGGTTCCTTAGAAGCAGATCAAAATATACCACACCCTTCCAATCCCACCAAACTGACAGCATAATCTTCTTTTGGTGAATATTAGCCTTTGAAGTGGCTAGTGGCGCTTCATCGTGCTTATAAAAAATCCACAATTAATTAAAATAAAAAATTAAGTTAAATTTTCTAATTGCGGTCGCCCCTCGGCAGGAAATGTCGAACATGAAATAAAGGCTCCTCATAAAAAAACCAATTGCCGTTCGGAGGCTTCTTAGTATAAACTCTAGGTGCTTCCATTCGTTGGAAAAACATCAAGAGGCAAAGCCGCAAATTGGAGGAGATGTTCGGCCAAAAATCGCTTCAGCGGTTACATAGCGCCAAGATGCATATTATAAGCGTTGAAGCGTCTTGGCACCCAAATATTAAGTTTTTTCTATCAGTCCAAAACGTCGTATATGCTTATAAACGGTCGATTTTGGTATACTTAACTTCTTTCCAATCTCACGCTCAGTTACATGACGATCCAATACGATTAAAGCCTTTATATCGTCATCATCAAATTCACTAGGCCGACCTGAGCATGACTTATCCTTGAGTGAAAAATCTCCTAAACGGAATTTAACAAACAAACTCGACACTAAGGCCTTATCACTATACAAATTATGCAAGTTTTTGGCGATCTGCGCTACATTTCTTCCTTTATGGAAATAATAGAGTAAAATATGACGAAAATGTTCTTTTGTGGGAAGCTAAAAGTGACAGTTTATAACTGTCAAAAGAAAAAATACAATTAAATAGTCATCAGCTGTTCAAGAAAATTGGCAGTGCCGTCTGTATGAAAAAATGCCGGTTTCTTTTGGGGTGACCTAATCCATATGAGAGTATTTATGTATGTACATGTTTTATCGCTAATCTTTTTGCCATCACAAGAGTTTTTATTAAGATAACGGTGCTAATTGTGTGACGTATACATTTAAATGGGCCAGAAAAAAGCAGTTACTGTTAAATTAAGTAAAAAAAAACAAGGATTTTTTTTTAAATATGTACGTATGTATGTATCTAAAACATTTCCATTGCATTTGTGCCCGTCATTTTAATTACGTTCTACGTAAATAATCGTTAAATATTTTTTTTTGCTAATTTTCAAATACTGACTCTATCTAGCAGTAGGCACTTAAAATTCTTTACTTTTTGCTTAGATTAGTTAGTTATCTTAAGTCAGTTTCAGTTTATTGCGATAGCGTATAGTTGGTAATATGGACATGTGGCGAAGATTGTAGAAATAATTTTATAATGGAATTAAAAGTACTATTTAGCAGTGAATTAAGCTATAATTTACAGTTACTTAACTTGTAATAAAATGTTAATCTGTCCAATAATAATTTTTTGTCTTATGAAACTGCGTGACGTTAACTGCGTGTGCAAATGAGCTCTGCAAATATTAAAAAAAAAATGTTTTTCGACATAGTCTGCGAGATTTGCCATTTACAGTCAGGTAGTTTTCCATCTAGGTCTTTAACAGCGTGGATGTTTTTGTAGTTGCAGTTGTAAAAAAAATAAATAAATAGTTTTTGGGCTATACTTCGGGGATGACAACCCTTGGTCAACTGAAAATTCGGGTCACTCGGGTATAAAGACCCGACTTTCGGGGAAACTTTTGTATCTTAGTCACCCTACCGCGCACAAACTCTTGCATCCATACTCCAAAGTTGATGTCTGTCTCCTCCTCGGCTTCTACCGATGAGTCAAATTTGAAGTATTCTTAACCATCCCGACCACCTGACTTAGATAGTATAGCCGCTGACTTGATATGTCAATATTGTCGAATATCTCTTGCAACTTATCGTTCCATCGGTTGAGGTATTCACCGTTTCAAGTGCACAGAGGACCATAAATCTCACTCAAAATCCTTCTCATTTAAGCTCCCAACACCGACTAATCAAATGTTGTCATCGTCCATGTCTCCCCAAAATAAAGGATGACGTAACTGATGCACGACCTGTAGAGTTTGGTCTGTGTTCGTTGGGAGAGGGCTTTACTTTTCAATTGCCTACTCAGTCCAAAGTAGCACCTGTTGGCAAGAGTGATTCTGCGTTCGATTTTAATGATGATTTTATTATTGGGGTTAATGCTGGTTCCACGATAAACGAATATATCTACGACTTCAAAGTTATGACTGTCAACAGTTGACGTGGGAGGCGGTTTGCGAATGCGAGGACTGTCTGTTTGATGACAGAACACACGGTGCGGTTGTTGACACCAATGATATTAACATCTTCGGCATATGCCAGCAGTCACCTGGTCTAAAATATCGTTGGCTTTCAGACGACTTGTTGTTCCCGCTCCTGCTGGAGCCTTTGGTGTAG